CTTGAAGAAGGTAATCCATGTCATTGAATTGTACATGTAGAAATTGTTGAATTGCTGTATGTTCTGCTGTGCTGCTGCATATATTTTCAACAGCAAGAAAATAAATTATTTTTTTAAAAAATGGGTACCTCCTACACTCTCTTGTCAGCACAAGTGGCAGCACGTGGCAGGTTAATGCGAATGTGGATTCAGAGTCAGGAAGGGATTCCTGTCACTCATTTATCAAATGTCTGGTGAAGACGCAGTAGGCTTTTACAGGGCAAACTGCAAGACTAGTACATCTAAAAGCCAGGCCAGAGTGGGGATTATGGTTTACTGTCCACACCCACTCAGCCTCCCATTCTTGACCCAGCTCTCGGAGTCTACTGCCTCCCTCTGATCCAGCTGCTGGCCCAGTCTGTAGAGGATTACTGGGAGGATCACAGCTGGGATGTCTTTGGACAAATACTGTTTTTAATTATAAAATAATTTGTGACAGGCAATAAAGTATAGGGAGGAGGCAGTGGTGTGGTTCAGTGGCAGAATTCTTACCTTCCATGTGGGAGATCCAGGTTTAATTCCAGCTGATATACCTCACTGCACAGCCAGCACCCATCTGTCAATGGAGGCTTGCATGTTGCTGTGATGCTGAACAGGTTTCAGCAGAGCTTTTAGACTAAGACAGACTCAGGAGAAGGGCCTGGTGATCTACTTTTGAAAATCAGTTAATGAAAACTCTATGGATCACAAGGGTCCAATCTGCAACTGATCATGGGGATGGCGCAGGACCAGGCAATGTTATGGTCTGTTGTACATGGGGTTGCCATGAGTTGGGGGTAACTGGACAGCAGACAACAACAACAACAAAGTATAAGGAATAACACAATGGTACCCACCCATGTACTCACCACTTAACTCTGTCAACCTTTCTATCCTTGTGTCATATTTTTTTCAAGAAATAAAATACATATTTATACATTCTGAATACTTTGCTGGCTAAATGTGTTGCAAATATATTCATTCAGTCTGCCACTTGTTTGCTTTGTTTATTATATCTTTTGTTGTATCAAAGGGTTTTTCTTCTTAATTTATTTAATCAAACTCATCAGTCTTCCTTTGGTGGTTAGCACTTTCTGTCTCTTGTTTAAGAAATATTTCTTTACCTCAAGGTCATAAAGATATTCTATATTTTCTACTAAGAATTTTAAAGATTTACTTTTCCCATTTAGGTTTTTAATCCACATGAGATTTATTCATTCATTTTTGTATGATGTGAGGTAAGGACCAATTTTTTTACCATATGGTTAACCAATTTTTTCCAGTCCCATTTATTGTTTATCATTTTCCTCTGATTTGTAATGCCAGTGCTGTCATATGTTACATTCCCATACACGTATGGGTCTGTTTCTGGGCTCTGTTCTGTTTCTTTTGTACATTTGTATATTCATATGCCAACATAGCGGATTCTAATTAGTAGTATGGGCAGGTCCCCACAACTCATTTTTCAAGGTTGTCTTGGATATTGTTGGCTGCATTCTATCATATGAGTTTTTTAAATGGACACAGAATAGAGTTATCATATGAATTTTTACAATCACCTTCTCAAATTCCATATAAAACCCTCTTGAAATTTTGATTGGAATTTCATTGTTTATAGGTTAATTTGGAAAGATCTGAAATCTTTAGAATATTTTCTTCCTGTCCAAAGTAAAAAATACCTCTCTATTTATTTAGGTCTTCTTTAGTGTGTTTCAATACAGTTTATAATTTTTTCCATTCTTTTATTTCTCATCTTTTGTTCAATTTATCCTTAAATATTTTATAGTTTTTATTGATTTTTGTGTTTTTCTAAATTTTATTTATTTTGTTGCTGTTGTTGTTGAGAATATATACAGCAAAACATACACCAGTTCAACAGTTTCTACATGTACAATTTAGTAACACTGATTACGTTCTCCAAGTTGTGCAGCCATTCTCACCTTCCTTTTCTGAGTTGTTCCTCCCTCATTAACATAAACTCACTGCCCCCTAAAACCAACACCAAATCCATTGCCGTCAAGTCTATTCGGACTCATAGCAACCCTATAGGACAGAAAAGGAGCAGCTGGTGGATTCGAATGCCCAACCTTTTGGTTAGCAGCCGAGCTCTTAACCACTGCACCACTAGGGCTCCACTGAGGTTTCTATCTTTCAAGTTGCTGTTGTTGTCACTTTGATCCCATATAAATAGTTCTTAAAAGAGTGTAATGCTCAAGGCTGATTTTTTTTTTTTTTTTTTACTAGCTAAGCTAAGCTATTGTTTGATTTTAAGAAGCCTTCAGGGAATGTTTCAGTTTAAGTAGTTTAAGGATTATCTCAGGGCAATAGTTTCAGGGGTTCATCCAGCCTCTATGACTCCAGAAAGTCTAGAGTCCATGAGAATTTCAAATTCTATTCTGCATTTTCCCCATTTTGATCATAACTCTTCTACGGCATCTTTGGTCACAATGTTCAGTAATGGTAGCTGGGCACCATCCAGTTCTTCTGGTCTCATGGCAAAAGAGGCAGTTGTTCATGGAGGCAATTAGCCACACATTCCATGTCCTCCTCCTGTTCCTGACTCTCCTACTTCCTCTGTTGCTCGAGGACAATAGAAACCAGTTGTGTTTATTGCTATTCTTAATGGGATCTTTTTAAAATCACATTTTCTAATTGGCTATTCCTGACAAAAAGGAACACTTTGGATTTTTGTATATTGATCTTATATCCAGAAACCTTATTAGTTCTGGTAGTATGGCTGTATGGGTCACATTAATAGATCTTCTGATGTTCTCTCCTGGTATTCCAGGGAAACATGGCTGAATTCAGTTTTCTAGGACCTTATTTAGAATTTTTAAGTGGTGCTTTTGTACAAAATCTGTACTCTGAGAAACTGAAGGGCTGTGCAGTGACTTCGTTTTTCAGAGGGGCAAAAGGTTTATGCACAATAGGCTATTTTGGCCTTGAAACCTAGCCTTATCTGCCTCTATTGACCCACATCCTTTTCTACGTGCTTTTGCTTAATTTGTCTAGTGCTGATTAAGGATTATACCACACTCCTTTCACTGCGAGTCAGATTCTTTTTAGATTGAGCTCCACTGAGAGCTCAAACTATTAACTACCATCCAGCTTTTGTAACTCTCCAAGGTGCTTATCATAGTACTACTTTTGCAAAGAGCTCCAAGCTAGAAAAAAGTTGGTGTCTACTGATGAATTGAAGAGCTTTTCTTGATTGACTCATTGTGGTTTCATCTTTGCTTTGTCCTTTAGGATGCTAAAAGCTGAGCTTTGTGCTCAGCAGTAACACATTCCTTTGATTCTAGTTTTTAAAATATTATTAATAATATTAAACTCGCCTTGTTCATACAGTAAACCTTGGTGGTGTAGTGATTAAGTGCTATGGCTGCTAACTAAAAGGTCGACAGTTCAAATCCACCAGGTGCTTCTTGGAAATTCTATGGGGCAGTTCTACTCTGTCCTATAGGGTCACTATGAGTCGGAATAAGACTCGATGGCAATGAGTTTTTTTTTGTTGTTGTTCGTATAACCTTTTTTTATACAGCCATTTATTGCTTTTTTTTAATCACTATCAATTTTACTCCTATGTTAGTGCTATAAAATTTTATTGCTTGTACACTTTATCATAAGCTATGTCAAATCATTTTGCAGGTAGATGGAGTTTAAAATCTAAATAAAATGAAAAATGCACAATGAATGTTGACCGGAAGGAGAGTATGAGGACTTTAGTGTGGGTGGAGATTTTCCGGTATCATTAGCTTAGAAAATTAATTTAGATGTTTTACTGCCTATTCTTACAATAAGGCCTTTTAGACTCAATATCACAATATTGAGTTCAAAGGGGAAAAAATCTGATTTTACTTTCAATATCTGCTAGTAAATGAAAAAGCATTTCACAACCCTATGAAATAATGGTGCTGGGCATGATAATTGCACATATTTTCGTTGAATATTGTTTCATTAAAGTATTAAATTGAACTGTTCATTCAACGGTTATAGGCTTTTTCTTTTGAGCTGAACCTAAATCTGATTTTTTAAAAATCGCTTGTGTTCCGCGGGTTTCTGCGTTTGAGTAACCCTCCTTCAAAGGCATCTCCCAGAGGAGAGTTCGGGTCGTTAACTCGGGCTGTACAAAGCATTTTGTTCCTTACTCAGTTCTTACGTGGTATCCAAAGGAGATAAGTTGAATGCCCACTAAGTCATGCTTTTCTATTACTCATTCCGCCTTTTCTTCCCAAGGTGGCGTGTGGGAGGTGTTGGGATGGGTTCGACAAGAATAGGCCAGGAAGCTTCAGCGGGATACACTTATCCCTTTGCATGTTTCAGTTCCGACTGTGCCCGTTCGGCGGGTTGAACATGTGAGATGTTTTCTAAACAGACAATGTCTCCACACTCGGCCGCCTCCCAAATTAAATCTCGACTCTTCCGCTGGCGTCGGGGACCCTCCACAGTTACGCCCGCCCCACTTAGCCAACCTTTTATCACCTTACAAGGCGGATTATCGGGTTTGCCGGGCGCGGCTGCTGTCGACTAACGCCCTTCAGGGTCACCCACAAGGGAACTCTGGGCGCCGGCTTCGCGCACCCCGCACCCCAGCGCCAGCTCCCGGGCCACTAGAGGGCGCTCAGGTGTCTCCGCAGCTCCTCGCAGCATCGTCGCTCCCCGGCTCCCCTGCGATTGGTCGGCCGCCCCGATCTCTGCGTCCCGATTGGCTGCCGCCTTTGTCAGTCGCGGGCGCCGAGGCGGGCCAAGGTGACGCGCGGCCGCCGGGCTCCGGGCGGTGTCCGGCACCGGGGGCTGCGGACGGAGTTTCGTGAGGACAGACGCGGGGCAATCAGACCGCGGGGGTCCTGAGAGGTGTTTGCGCGCAGCTGAGCCGCTGCCCGACCGTCGCAACCGCCACTGCCGGCTCGTCTCCGCGCCCGGACTCCCGCGCTCCCGTCTTCTACTTGCCGAGGCCCTCGATGCGGGGCCGGGCCGCTGCGTGATGGGGTTGCGGGCTGGCGCCCTGCTGCTCTCGGCAGCCGCTGCCCGCGCTGAGGTGCGTCGGTACCGGGCCCCGCGCGCTCCCGCGCGCCGCGGCGCCTGCTGACCTGGCCGCCCACCCGTCGGTCCGCAGCGCAGCTGAGGTAAGGCGGCGGGGCGGACGGCGGTTGGGGCTGTGGCCGCCCGGTGCGGAGGGGGGCTTTCTGCGAGGGGGAGGGGCGGCCAGGCGAGGTCCGCAGGGGGAGCCCCGGGCCCTGAGGGGACCCGTGCGCACTGAGGGCGCCGCCCGCTGTGGCACTGGGTGGGGTGCGGTGGGGTGAGGTGGAGAGGGGAAGGCTCTCCCGGGGATGGGGGGTGCAGGGCGCCTCCCAGGCCAGCAGTGCGCTCTGGGCTTGCGTCCAGCGGCTTGCTGGGTCCCCCGCAACCAGCCCTCCGTTTCCCCTGAGTGCCAGGCTTCGGCTTTGCCCAGCGGTCAGCCGACTCGCCGCTGTCTGTCCATCCCCTGGGCTTTCTGCACAGTTTGCAGCTCAATGAGGACAGCGCGGCTCCGTTTGAGGCCATTCTTTCTTATTTCCTCCATCCTCTCTCCCCCATCCTCTTGGTTGGTATTCGGGACCGAGGCTGGGAATGTGGTTGTGCCCTTTTGCCAGATGCAGGTAGGAAAGGGCATCACATGGTAGGGGAGAAGTCGATGGCGCAAGGACTGCAAAGAGGAGCGCGATGGGAAGGGAGGGGGCTTGCTGGAGGCTGGCCAGCCGTTGGGAGGGCTCGTGTGGTCTCGGCGTTGAGCAGAGCAGGCTTACTCGGGCAGCCATATTGGGAGGATGATCTGACAAATCCTTTAGGAGCCAAGTCCGGTTGCTGGAAGGCACCGAGTGACAGCCCTGGCAGCTTTCAGGGTGACTGCCCGCACAGAAGCCAAATAGTGGGGGTTGGGAGGCTGCTCGAGCAAGCTAGTCATTGTTCATGCAACGCAAAACATTCCCGGCTCTAAAACCGGAATGGAGCTCCCAAATCACTTTTTCTCCTTGGCAAATTGCTAAATTAGCTTCCAAGGTAAACTGCCTTCATGATTCCTTTCTTGTTGGTGTGAAATATTGGGTTTCTGTATTCTTCTGTGTTCTGTGCACACAGAAGGCCTGGAGATGCCTTACGCGTACACAGGTCTGAGGACTGCTAAGGCCAATTTATCGGTATGGAGGCCTTGAGTTAGTAGATTGCATTGGGTGGACAGATTTTCAGAGTAGCTGAACATGCAGAGAGTAAGTAAACCGGAATGTTCTGATAGTGAGGGAGGCTTGCAGCAATATTTCTGAGGACACAGGTTGTAATCTTTGTGGAATATCGAGGTAGCTGAAATTAGGTTCTGGACAGATCTCCTGTTCATGTATCTCTTTTTGGTCTAGGCAGCTGTTCTGCCGACACTGAACATGCTGCATTGTGTCATAGCTGTGTTTGAGCCCAATGAGAGTGCAGTGATCGCATTTGAATCGCTCTGAAGAAGTGATGTCATGGTGGATATTTTATTTAAAGGCTGGCATTTTGTCAGCTTAGCTTAGTCATAATAAAATCTTAGCTTGTGTTCTTCTTTAAGAAGTGAGGTGGTGCTTTCTAATTAAGTTGGTATGGTTGGATTATGAAGCCAGTAGAATTATTCATGTACTGATAAAGGATGGAATGTGAAGATGGCACACATGTTGGCATTGTCGAGCAGATCTTGAAATGATTAGTAATTGAGTTCAGCTTGAGCCTGTAAAGCTGTCTTTTCTTACATCCTAGGCCTGGACAGGACCTGGAGGGTGGAATGCCTGCCCCCTTCTTTGTGTCCGTTTCTTTCATTCATACTCCATTTCTTAACGAATAAATTCCTGTAGCTTTCAAAATTGAACTACTTAAATAATTTCAGGTAAGGTTTTCTAAGGAAAGTCTTAACACATTTCTTTTGTTAACTTATTGTTAAGCTTTCTTTTTAAAACTTGGTTGACTCAAATATGCCTTCAACAGAAACTAGTGTTTTTTTGAATTACATTAATATGAGAGAAATACAGAATGTCTTTTAAAATTCCATGCCCTAGTTAAGAAATATTTGTATTATTTTACTTTTAAGGTTACTTTATTAGTAAAAAGATCTGAAGAATTGTGATTAAATATAATTTCAACTTTTGGTAAAATCAGATCTGATTGTACAGCTCTGCTGTGATAAGTGTTTTTCCAGAATTTATCCAATTAAGTACAGCTTCTAAGGCTTAGAGCAGACCATTTTTCCCTGTCAGGACCAGATATGAGTGCAGTTTTCCTTTTTTCTCTTGTTACTCCTTCCCACTTTTAAGTTGTGCAGGTAATAAATGCCTAAGAAGAGTCTGCCAACAGTCTCTCTCCAAGGCCAAAGCATTCTCAGTCATTTCTCTGCTATGGTCTTTTCCTGCGTACAAAGTAAAGAACAACAATGAACTCCTCCCTTCTTGTTTGTAAACCCCTTCCCAGGCTGCTAATCACAAGTCTTTTCCAGAAGTAAACTTATCCCTTTGGTCTTGTAAACTGACATGGTTTAATTTCACAAGGCTCTGAAGTTAAACCGGTATCATGTCTACATCATGTAGTTTTCTTTGAAAGATGACCTTGTTTGAATGGATACTGGTGAATTTCTGGACTCCATAAAGGAGTTGAATAAATATACATACTTTTAGGACTTCTTTTTGTTTTTGTTTTTTTGCACGTCATAAGGATAGAGGAGAAATTAAATGCATGTGACTTGTAATAGGAAAAACCTGCAAAATGTGCCTTGGACTTCTCTCTGAGTTGAACTTTCTGGCTAGTGGCCCCGTGATTCATTGAAGCTCACTTTTACCACAGTCACTAACAGTTTTTGAGAGTGCACCTAGAACTTTGGTTCTTTACCCTCGAAGGACTTACAGTTTGCCACTTATTAATAGATATGGTGAGATAAGATTAACCCCATCTCCTTCCCATTTTGTACGATTTAGTGGACTGCTGCCATGCCATGGTGGTTTCCAGATTTTCCAGTGAGAGCCTTTTTCCTCTTTGTAATACCTTTTAATACTTATCATCTAATACGAAATTGGTACTTTTATGGTTGTTTTGAGGTTGTATATGCGTTATAAGTCGTAAGACTTGTGTCTGATGGATTTTAAAATATTTTTATATTTAATATTACGTTGTTTACACCAAAGCATATCATTCAACTGTATTATTCTCTACCATTCTCTATTTCCTTTGAAGATTTTGATATTTGGCTTAATTTTCTCTTTTATCCATGTTTCTGACATCATCTTATACGTCAGTGACTGTGTAGATAAGCAACAGAAACAATAATGATGATAATAACTTACTCATATTGAGCACTTTATATGTGTCAGGCCTATTTCTAAGCACTTTACATATATTTACTAATTTAATCCTTGTAACAACCATGTAAAGTAGATACTATTAATATCTCCAGGAAACCCTGGTGGCATAGTGGTTAAGAGCTTCAGCTGCTAACTAAAAGGTCAGCAGTTTGAATCCACCAGGCACTTCTTGGAAACTCTATGGAGCAGTTCTTCTCTCCTGTAGGGTTGCTGTGAGTTGAAATCGACTCAGCGGCAACAGGTAAGAGGTATTAACATCCCCACTTCACAGATAAAGAAACTGAGACAGAAGCTGTGGGGTAAAGGACCTAGTTTTACCCTAAGTTAGGTGGCCTTTGTTCTTGGTTCTTGAGAAATAACCCTTGGAGTAATTGTGGTGCCTTGGTCTGGGATTTCCAGGCCGCAGTGGAGAATTTGTGCTGGTGAGTGGGAGCTGGCCAGACCAGAGAAGACTCACCTGGGAGGCAGATACCAACCAGCATCAAGAGGCAGGAGTTAGCTTATCATGCTAAACTGGGCAGGAAAAAAAAAAAAAAGCCTGAAACTCTAAGGCTCAGGGAGCTTCCTGCATGTGTAACTCTTCCTTATAACCATCCTCATATATATCCTTTTACTATAATGAAACCAGTAGTTGTAGGTATAATATTTTTTGTGAGTTCTGTGAATTGTCCCAGTGAAGTAATAAACCTAAGAACAGTGTCCGTTTAGCTTGTGAACTCTGACCTAGCTCTGGGTGGCTAGGGGCTGAGAGAAAGTGGGCCACTGGAGTCAGAAGTGATAGAGAAATGGGAAAGCAGAGATATACTGGATCTCCACTTCATGGGAATCAACTTTATGCTGATTCTCCTCTACAAAGTTATCATTTTAGAGGCTGAGCGACTTTCCTAAGGTCAGTAGAGCCAGTAAATACCCACTATGCTGAACTTCCTTTGTAACTACCCTTAACTTTAAAATTCCTTGACTTCATCTCAGGCAAACCTTGGCTTCGTTCTGTTCTAGCAGCTAATTTTGTGGTCACATCTTCTAAGATGTCATCACCTTCAGATCTCAAATTTGCCTCCAGATCTTAAGCTGATAATTTACAGCTCTCACTTTCATAGTCTCTTTCCCTGTGTTCTTCCACCTCAAGTCCCTTGAACCTTTCCTTTTCTCCTAGTCTAACCGATTTGACTTCTTTTCATTCCTTTTCTATACTGTGTGACCCCTGGAGTATGTTGCTTCTGCTCTTTTCTTACTAGCACTTGCAGTTTTTATTCTTCCTTATCCTGCAGACCCACTGTGCAGATGGCAGCCTTGCATCACTCCTGCCATCCGTACCCTCCATACACGTTGTGAAGAAACATCACACAGTGCTGTGATTTGTGCCACAATTAATGTGCAGTCTTAGGTCTCCCCTGAGTCTATATTTGGTGTCTGTTGAAGCAATTCTGCTCAGTTCCCTCCCACATTCTTCACGGGGCTATTCTAAAATCTTTACCACTTTACACTTTACTCAGGCCTCTCCACTGTCCCATAGTTGGCATAAAACCTTGCCTACTACCTCAGGAAAAAAGGCACAAAGTCTCTCAGTTTCCCCTTTCTTTATTTACAAACTTCTCTGCCCTCTTTCTTACTGTCTTTTCTCCGGTCTCAGAGAAACAGGTTATACTCCCCCACTCTCAGCTAATCCCGTGGCCTGTCTTCCGGATATCACTGCCTTCTATTTCTTTAGGGATTTGCTGTATTGATTACTCCTCTTCTTGCCTGTATTTTCAACATCTCTCACTTCACTGACT